AAACTTGAGTCATCCTGGACACATTCCTGCTCATTTTCATTTTGAAAATACTTCCAAGGCTGCAGATTTTTGTTCATGCAGTCAACAGCCAAAGACCTACAGGTAGACCCTTCCCTGTTCCTGAGGACTGTAGTTCCATAAACAAAATGCCAGGGCTGGCAGAGTGGCTCAAGTGATAGAGTGCCTGCCTAGCAAGGATAAGGCCGTGAGTTAAAAAAAATGCATTTGGAAATTTGGGGGTGGGGAGGGTCTTGAAAATAGTGCAGCAGACAGCATAAAAGAAATTCAACATATGAAAGAATTCAAATTAAGGTGCAAAAATGAAATGCTGGAGTGCCAGGTATGGTAGTACAAGCCTGTAATCCCAGCACTCACTCTAGAAGCAGAGGCAGGAGGATCACAACTTCCAGGCCAGCCCTTGCTGCACAGTGAGACCCTGTGTCACAAAACCAAGGTCTGGGAATGTGACTCATTGTTAAGTGCACTTGCTTCTCATGCACCCTGGGTTCCATCCCCAGCACCACCAAAAAAAAAAAAAAAAAAAAAAAAAAAAAACCCGACCAAACCAAAAGACCACTGTAGAGCAGTGGTTTTCCCCTCATAATTGGGAACTGTGACCAAGAAAGGGCGGGAAGGGGGAAAGGAAAAATCAGAGGACTTAAACTCCAAATGTGAAGAAACATGAAAACATAAACCGATTTATTTGCTTATAGTTTTCTTTTTAAGTACACACAGGATGGTATTAAATTCGTTACACATTATTGCATCACAATATTGCCACAAACTCAGCTGCTAAAAATACACAAATTTATTATCTCACAGTTTCTGTGGGCCAGGAATTCCAGCTCAGGCTTGTTAGGGGCACAGTAGCAGTGCCAGCCACTGAGGACAAAGAGTATGTCACACCCCACGCTTGGACATCAAATCCAAAGAAAGGAAACTGCTTGACCTTTAGAACACAACCCGGGGGTTGGGACCCCACAATCCGTTTACACACATGTCAGACCCTGTACGTCTCAGTCTCTTCTTGCTGCTATAACAAAACACCCTTAGTCTGTGTAATTTATAAATCACAGAGGTGTACTGCTCCCAGTTCTGAAGGCTGGGAATTCTGAGACAAGATGACAGCAGATAGGGTGTTTAGTGGGTTTTCTATGTCTATTCACCTGATGGAAGGAAGAAAAGGGCTCCCTCCTGCCTCTTCCCCCCTCATCCTTCCCCCACCCAGACTGGGGCTTGAACTCAGGGCCTCACTCTTGCTAGGCAGGCACTCTACCACTTGAGCCACTCCGCCAGTCCTATAAGGGCACTCATCACCTCTCAAAGGCCTCATCCTTTAGCGCCACTGCCTTGGGAGGTAGTTCCAACTCTGAACTTGGGGGTGTGCAGGCATTCAGACCATAGCTCCCTAGCACCCACACCCCTTAGCAGAAACTATAAGCCCTCATGACCTGGCCCCTCCCTGCCTCTTTGTCTTCCTGGTTCCTTATCCCCTTCCTCCCTGTGGTAAAGTTTAAGATGGCTATGGCTACCAGCTCCAGACCACACCTTTCAGCTCCCCCTTACAACTGGGATGGCCACAGCCAAGACTAGGCGAATGGGATTCCCACAGAAATGCAAGGATGCCATGTCTGAGTCACCTTCTATGGCAGGGAATAGTCAATGTTTAGCATAAAGGAACTACTCTAGTGCCAGGTGTGGTGGCACACACCTGTAATCCCAGCAGTCGCTGTGGGCCAACAGGGAGATGTCTCCCAGCATCTCTTGTGGTGAGGTCAGTCATGGCAAAGTTCTAGCCATTGATATCAGTACGAAATGCTGGGTGTGATGGCACACACTTTAATCCCAGCACCCCGGAGGCTGAGGCAGGAGCACTGCAAATTCAAGGTCAGCCTGGGCTACAGCAAGACTCTCTCAAAACAAAACAAAACAAAACAAAACGAAGCAAAAACCAAAGGGCTGGAGGTGTGGCTCAAGTGGTAGAGCACCTGCTTTGCAAGTGTGAGGCCCTGAGTTCAAACCCCAGCACTGCCAAAAAATAAAAATAAAAAATAAAGTTAGACAAGAAAAATGGAGTAGTAAAAATTATATGATTCACCTAAAAGAAGAAAAAAGAGCAGATCAATCCGATAGGATGCAATCAGCAAGATAACAAACTGCAACCAAACCATATGATTAATCACACTAAATGTAAATGGGTTAGATATTCCAATTAAGGTACAGAGACTGTCAGACTAGATTAAAAAGCCAGACCCAGCTACATGCTGTCGATAAGAAACACTTTAGCTGGGTGTGGTGGCACACAACTAAAATCTCAGCACTCAGGAGGCAGAGGCAGGAGGATCACAAGTTCCAGGTCAGCTTGGGCTACACAGCAAAGCCCTGTCTATAAAAAAAAAATCACAATAATAATCTAAGGGGTTGGAAACATGGTTTAAGTGGTAGAGCACCTGCCTAGCAAGCTTGAGGACCAAAGTTCAAATCCCAGTACTACCAACAAAATAATAACCTAATGGTCAAAGAAAAAAATCACAAGGGAAATTAGAAAACATCTGAACTCAATAAAATTAAAACCACAATATACCAAAATGTGTAGGATATAGCTAAAGTGGTTCTGAGAGGGAAATTTTCATCTTTAAAATCTTGTATTAGACAAGAATCTATCACTGATCAGGACAGAGTGTAGTGGTTAGGAATATGGAACCTGAAACCAAGCATGAGGCCCTGAGTCCAAACCCCAGTTCTGCCAAAAAAAAAAAATTCATTCCTATTTCTAGAGCAGTGCTGGTAATTTGAATATAACACAAGCCACTTAGCTTACTGGTCATCCTAACTCAGTACATTTGGAGCTGCCACTGACATTCTTATCTGATTAGAACCTGGGACAAATCAGGAGTCCAGAAGCCCAGAAAGTCCCTGGAAGGTCACAAATGTCATTTTCAAATCTTAGGAAAGAGGGACTTGGATACTAGGTTACCAAACTCAGAAAATAGAAATAAAGGATGCTGGCCAGGAGCCAGTGGTTCACACCTGTAATCCCAGCTACTCAGGAGGCAGAGATCAGGAGGATCTCGGTTCAAAGCCTCCCCACAGGCAAATAGTTCAAGAGACAATAGTTCAAAAAAAAACCCTTCACAAAAAAGGGCTCGTGGAGTGGCTCGAGGTGTAGGCCCTGAGTTCAAGTCACAGTAATGAAAAAAAAAAAGAGGGTGCTCAGTGGAATTTGAATTTAGTGCTGGTGGAGTGGTAGAGTGCCTGTGTAGCAAGCCTAGCAAGCAAAAGACCCTGAGTTCAAGTCCCAGTACTGCCCTCCCCCCCAAAAAAGAAGAAAGAGAAACATTTAAGTGTAAGTGTGTCCCCTACATTTCTGCTGAAAAATACAATTTTGCAGTACTGGGATTTGAACTCTGAGCCTACACCTTGAGTCACTCCACCAGCCCTTTTTTTGTGAAGAGTTTTTTGAATAAGGGTCTCTTGAACTATTTGCCCAGGCTGGCTTTGAACGACAATCTCCTGATCTCTGCCTCCTGAGTAGCTGGGATTACAGGCATGAGACACCGAGGAGCAGCCTAATCAAAATTCTTGTATGATGGGGTGCAGTTAGCCTCAAGATTACTGGAACCAAGAAGTAAATGTCTAAAAAACTCTTAGCCTCTTCACTTTTCCGCTTTGTCATTTTTATTCCTCCCTCTTCTTGACACTTTATTCTCTTAGATGGGACCAGAGTGGGGAAAAAAAAAAAAAAAAACCATAATCATTTTTACAGGAAGGACCTCTTCCTCTCCAGCTTTACCACCCAAAGGCTCCAGTGCCAAAAATTCCAGGGAAGGTTTCTCATTGGTTCAGCCTACGTTCTGAATGGATGGGAAATAATGATTGGCCTAGCTTGATTCACTTGCCCATACTTCAGCCAATCACCGCAGCGGGGCGGAGACACACGGTAACCTCGGCTCCCATTCTAAACGGGAAGGGGGGGGCTTTCGTCTGAGCTCCAGGGAGCAAACACTGTAGTCTCGGGTAACCTAATCAATAATTCTTTATTCTTTCTTCTCCCCTGGCTGGGATCCTGGAAGGAGTGAGCGAGTCAAGTTGTCCAGCAGATGACAGTGGTTGAGAAACATGGTCTCCCCAGCCCAGCCAAAACTCAGGTCTCGGCATACAGCAGGCGCCCAGTTCATGTCTGTCGAATGAGTGGCTGAATTAACGATCTGTTCCCAGAGCCGGTCCTGGGACAGAATACAACTTCGTACCCGCTGAGCGGATCCACAGTGAAGCGGGGGTAAGGGTCCCTCACGCCCGTGGAGCGCCTCTTAGGCAATGGGCAGAACCTTGAAGACCCCGCCACCGCGCAGGGCCCTTGGGGGCGGGGCTTCCGGGCCCTTAGGGGCGGGGCTTTCAGGCCCCACATTTTGGAATGAACCATTTTCCACTTGTTAGAGGGGAGAGACGAGAAAGTCTTTCTGCATCTTTCGCCAGCCCTTCACCACTCCCAAGTCACAAAGGCAACATATTTGCATCTTCAATAGGCACTCGATTTTCCCCTTCACCTTATTATGCCTTACGGCTCCACGCAGCCGCATAATTCGCGCTTCCCCACCAATGCCGCACAGTGCTCATCCCAGTTTGACGCATTGCAGGGAAGGTCTAACCAATCGGCGCTGCGCTCTCATTTCCGCTATGGGACGGGCCCAATAGCGACGCGGCTCACAAAGGGACTTGTCACGCGCCTCTGAGAAGTACCCCTCCGCCAGGGAGGAAAAAACACAGAAGGCGGGGCGCGGGCGACAGAAAGTAGTCCCGAGGCGAGAGCGAGCGCGCGCGCGCCCGGCGGCAAATCCCGCCCCTTTCCCCTCACCCGTGCTGGGGTGGAGACAAGCGATCCACGGGCCCGTCAGTGCGGAGCGCGGTGCGGAGGGATCCATAGGAGCCGCAGTGCGGCGCCGGGCGGGGCGGGGCCGGGTGAGGCGGGGCGCGCGCCGGGGCCGTTGAGGGACCGTTGGGGCGGGCGGCGGCGGCGCGGCGGCGCGCGCGCTGCGAACAGTGAGTGTGGAGGCGCGGACGCGCGGCGGAGCTCGAGCTGCTGCAGCTGCTGCCGCCGCCGAAGGAACCTCATTCCCCGCGCTCCGGACACCTCGGGCCTCGCCATGGTGAGTGTGGCGGAGGGGCCGCGGAGGCGAGGGGTGAGGTGGAAACGGCGGGGCTGGACCCGACCCTGGGGCGGCCGAGTGAGCCCAGAGTCGGGGCGTCCTCCGGAGCCCGGCGGGCGCCTCTGAGCCGCCTTCTCTTGGGGACATTTGAACCCAGTTCGGGACGTCTGAGTCCCAAAGAGAGGCTTTGGGGCTTCCAAAAGCCCTTTTTAGTACCAAATTGGCGGGGCGGGGGGATGTTGAGATGTCCTAATGGGCATCTGAGTCTTCAAAGGGGGCATTTGAACCCAGCACGGAGAATTAGACCCCCAGGAGGGGAGGATGCTCTTGGGGGTTTTGATACAGGAAAGAGGGAAGCCAGAGAGCCCAGGTGCTGGGGTGCACCTGGACGGACGGCAGTGGTCTCCTGGGGTCACTTTTGCACATGCGACCCTGCGGGGGAGGGTCTCCAAAGGTAGCGTTGCGGAGGAGGAGGGCGAGGAGCGGGAGGGCCTGGGGTGGGTGGCAGCGGAGGCTGGACGATGCTCTTGAAGCCTGCGGGACCGAGAAGGATCGGGGTCGTGGAGCTGGTTAATGGGGGGCGACACCGGTGCTTACCAGTAGTGGGAGAACCGGGAGGGGGTCCTCGTGGGTGATTTAGGGGATAGGTGAAAAAGGCTCCAGTGGGTTCAGGCTGCTTAACCAGGAAGAGACATGGGGTTGGGGGTTGGTGAGGAGTGTAATGTTTGGGTCCATGAAAATCTGGGTTTCCAAGGTGAGGGGTGGGGGAGGACTTGGCTTGGGAGGGATCAGAGGTGAGGTTGAAGGGGTCTAGAAGGTGGTGGAGAAAATGAATGTCAGCCAGAGTGGACCTAGGGTTGGAGGTGGCTGTGAGTAGCTGCCTGCCAGTCTCCAGGGAAGGCCCAGACGAAGCTGGTTCAGTCTGGGCTGGGAGTGGGCTGCAGAGGCCAGAGGGGATGGCTATGCTGTACCCTTTCCCTGAGAAACAGGGCTGGGGGAAGGCACCTGGGCAGAGGGAGCACGTGGATGGAGTTGTTCAGGCCCCTGTTTTGCACTGAAGCCAGTTGTATGAAATGGGAGTGCGGGAATCAAAGTTTGGGGTGCATCCAACCAGCCAGCTTGGTTAAGCCTAGAAGCCTCGCCCTCTTTGCTGTCCCTTTCAGGTCTTTTCCAGACAGTGCTGGTGTTCTCCTATCTCCAGCTCCATGTGCCTTCTGCTTCTCCTCACTCGTGCCAAATGACAGTGCAGTACAGTAGTGTGGCGTCAGTGACAGTCAGCCACCTATTCCCATGCCCTTAGGGTATAGGCTTCAGAACTTGACCATAGTCAAGGCCTCTGGGGAAACCCTTCATCGGTCTGAGGGCCACTTGTTCCTTTTGGGACCCTCACTGAGTGTCTCTGGGAATTCTCACAGTTAGGGCTTCACAGAAAACCAGCAGACTAGTTCTTTTCTCGTCCTGCCACCCACAGCACCCACAAGCCCCATGTACAGCCATGCTCCCTGGCAGAGCTGGGAAGACAGGCGGCCGCTGCTATGTATCAGATCTCATATGTGCTGACACAGACCCGAGGGCTTCTCCTTCCGCCACCCCATTTTCCCCCAGCAGAATCTGCTAAACGGGCCCTGCAGCTTTGGCAGGCACCAGGAGGTCCCCACCTCCTGAGGAGGGCCTGAGTGTTGGCCCTGACCAGTTTCTCTTTCCATTTGTAATCAGCAAGGTATGGGTGGGACAGTCACTGTGGACTGGCCTTGGACTTTGGCCTGATCTCCATGGCTCCTCCTCAGCCCCAGTGAGGGGCCCTGGCCTTGGTTTCTGATCTCATCTAACACAGCTCTCTGGCATTGGCTGGGGGCTGGGGCAAGGCAGAGAAATAATACCCTCTTCCCTCCCCCACCCTAAGCTGCTCTTTCTTGTCCAGCTCCTTGCTGGAGCCTTAGATGTGGGAGAAGGAAGCAGAAGACATCCTGGGTTATTTTGGAGATGGTTTTTGGCGAAAGCTACCAGTCTTTTGGGCTGGAAAGGGAAGAAGCCCTGAGAAAGGGGCGCCAGCAATGGCCAGGCTGCTTCTCCGGTGCTCGGTGTTCTGGACAGCAACCGTGCACTTTGATCTGCAGCTGGAGGTGGGCCCTTTCCTGGACGGAACAGGGGAGAGGGCAGGTGGGAGCGGGTGTATGAGGTAGGCCCTCTGTGCAGAGCCACGCCTATTTGCAGCAGCCCAGGAGCAGAAGAACATGACAGTGCCTTGCCTGCATCTTCCAGCTTTCTGCTGGGAATGGCGGACACCAGCCTTCAGAGCCACTCTGGGGATTCTGCAGCCTTTTGCAGCCTTCTGGGCCCCAACCCCTTTCAATACTGTCCCAAGGTGGGGAGAAGCGGGCTTCTTGCAGAGCAGTCTTTGCACTGGGGTGGGGAGGTCCCTGAGTGGGCTTGCTTTTTCCATTCTAGGCCGGTGGGGGGGGAAGCAGGGGGGGATGAAAAGCAGATGGATGGCAGCCTTCTTCCCCAGCAGCTCCTCCTGTTCTTCCACTTCCCCTCCCCAGCGTCACTGGCCTGACCAGAAGCCCATCTTCTTCTCTGCTTTTCCAGGCAGCTTCCTTAGGTGTGAGGGCCAGGACTGAGGGAGGGATAGGCTCACAGGAGCCCAGGAAGGCAGGCGGAGCGAGGGCTCACCATCACGGGCTGCTGGGTTGGCACAGAGGAGCCCACAACCCTGAGTCATTTCCTCTAGCAGTGCTGAAGAGTGTCCATTTGCCCTCCTAAACCTCCCTTCAGACTTCGGACTTCTGCAGAATGTGCCGGTGTGACGTTCTCCTCTCCCTTCTGCCATCTCCCCTTGGTCCTCATCACCTTGATTTCCCTCCCACACTGCCGACTTGGGACTTGGTCTCAAGATCCTTTTCCTTTCAATTGAACAAGATATATGTAATAGCTACATTTTAGACCAGGACAGGGGTGGAGCAGTCAGCAGTTGAATGGAAGCTCTAGAACCCGTATACAGACTGGTGCAAATGGACACAGTAGATTGCTTCAGCTTCTGGAACTTAAGCACTCAGGATAAGGAACAGAATCCTGCTGTAGACTTGGAGCCCCTTCCCCTACTGTAAAAGGAAGTGGTCCAGAGATGGTGGAGCATTCTTTGATGGTGCCCACCAAAACCAAGGAAAATTTGTATTTTAGCTGCTTAAACTTAGAAGTTGCAATCCAGCTCCCTCTGTCTTGCTCTTCCTCCAGGACCTCTATGTACACCCCACTCCCACTGGCTTCCCAGTGCTCCAGTGCAGGGAGAGCTGGACCCAGCGTCTCCTCCATGCCAACCGAAATGCCAGCTGCAATCCCCTCATGCAGCAGGGGCTGCCTTGCTACCACCACTGAGCCAGCCTCACCATGGCTGTGCTGGAAAGGGTTAAAAACTGCAGCACTAAAGCTGACTTCAGTCCTTTGCCACTACTGCTACTGCCTACTGCAGTACCCTCCCAGCATTGGTCCTCCCTGCCCATAAAGAAACAGAACAGAATGGTGCCCTGTGCCTGCCCATGCACTATGGCTGGAACAGCCACCTCCTGCCTGACCAGGGTTCCTCCAGCACCAGAGCAACTCAGAGGCACCAGTTAGAAGAATTTTTGCCACTTGGGTCCACACTGCCTGGGCCTAGCACCTCCAAATAGATGACACAGAAACCAGCGAAATAGCCCCAGACACTTTCCCTCTGTCCTCCCCAAGGACTGGCCTGTTTTGATTTGGAGCTTTGCAGAGCTGCTTGGTTAGGCTCCTTCCTGCCACCGCCACCACTGAGGCTCCCAGCAGCTCCACACAGCTGTTCCTTGCCAGCATAGCCGCTTTGGGACCAGCAGCATTTCTTCCTGCCCGTGGGTCTGGGCAGCTTAACTTGGCCTGCATCAGACAGGCCTGGGTTTCCCCACCCTAGCACCCAGCTTTGGGCCCCGACTCTGGCATGCAACTCCCTTGCCCAGCAGGACAGCCATGTGGAACTGGCCTCACCGGGGCAGGGCTGGGTGGAGTAAGGAAGATGCATCCAGGGCTGTGGCCTGCTGGCCCAGTGACTTACTCTCCTTCCTGCTTTTCTAGGCTGACCAGCTGACTGAGGAGCAGATTGCAGGTGAGTTTGTCCACCCTGTGACCTGGTCCTGTCATCTTCCTCAAGAAAGCCTGTGCCCCAGCCCAATCTTCCCACCCAAGGACAGCATCTGATAGATGAGTGTATGTCCCCAGTGTTGTGCCCGTGCTAGCGTTCCTAAATAGGCATGAGAGCTCAGCAGCGCCCACTACACCCACCCCATGCCCCAGTGCGGACCTCTGCCCAGTGGCAAAGATCCTGCTTGTCTCCGTGGCTCATTTGGACATTAGTGGCTGTAGGCTGAACCCAGCTCCCTGCTCCAGCCAGGCAAGCTGAGGTGAGCTGCTGCCCCACTTAACGAGCCGCCTCTGCACTTGCTCGGCTTTCACTTCCTTTTGCATGTGCTTGTGCTCAGCTTTTTCCTCTGTGGGAAGTGCTGCTCCCAGCTCTGCCTGGGCAGCTTCTCCTCCAGGTCTCAGCCTTCCTGACCCTAACTCAGTTAGGCAGCCTCCTTCACTCTCACACCGCCTGCCTATGTCCTGCGGGCTGCTCTCTCTGGCCACAGGCATTGTGTGTCTTCACCTCTTGGATCTTCTGTCACTCCAAGTTCACTCTGCTCTGGGAGCAGACTTGGGACTTGTCTTACACTCCCTGCCATGTACTCAGTGCTCAGGACACAGTGAGTGCTCCGTGAGTTCTTGCTGTCTGAACAATGAACAGAAATGGTCATATATCTTGCAGTAGGCTAAAAGAAGTCTCCGAACGTTTTTTTCCTGTAAAACTCCAGACAGCTCAGCTGCACATGTGTTGTGTGATGGAGCGTCCTTCCATGTTTTCCCCTCCCCAGACTGAGATGCCTGGGGAGCTCAGAGGCCGACTCTTGGTTTATCTTGGGCTGACACAAAGTAGAGCAGAGGGAAAGTTCAGGAATGGCCCTGGGGCCAGCCAGCCACCCCACCCCAGCCTTGCTGTCAGGATCAGCCTGCTGTGGCACAAAGGCAGAACGCCCAGCCTCAGTGGGAGGAGGCAAGGCAGACTCACCTTTTTGCCTGTCCCTCCTCCGGCCCCCAACACTTGGAGCTTCTTCACTTAGGCTCTGGGCCGGAAGACCCAGAGGAAGCCAGACAGCTGCCTTGTTGGCCAATCATGAGCTTAGGGGCCTTGTGACCGCTCCCTGCCCCCAGCAGCAAGGCCTCCGCACAGGGGGATGGCAGCATCCCCGAGGAGACTTGGACTGTTTCCCCAGGGCCCGAAGGCTCTGCCCAGCAGTGTGTCCCTCCCCCACCTGCCACCCACACCCCAGTCCTGCCTTCCTGTCACACAAGCACGCACTCCACCTTTCACCCTGTCCCCATTAGCAACTGTCCAGCATGTCACCCTAGCCCACACCATCTGGGAATGGTTTGCGGGGGCCACCAGGTGCCAAAGTAGCCCAGTGGGAGGCAAGAGCCACGTGCTTCTCTCCCCCCTGATGTGGCCCCAGCTGTGGCCTTCCCACTCGGCGCTAACGCTCCTCATCCTCCTGGCTTGGCAGCCGTCCCCTTGCCTCCTGTCCCCCACCCCACGCACAGACCGTCAGCTGTGCTCTGCTGCCGACCACCCCCGTGCGTCACCGCCCCACAGGCTCAGCTCCTCTAAAAGTGAGTAGCGCCCATAGCTGGAGACTGGGCTGGCAGTGCCTGTCAGAGGGGCCTGGTGCCCACATCTCTTTGGCCAGCCAAAGACCCCTCCCACCAGTTGACGTTGGCCAGCACTCTTCAGATGAATTCTGGCTGTCATCCACCCATCACTTTGGTCCATTTCGTCACCTGAGGAAGAGGCCAAAGTCAGGGACCAAGAAGCAGTGGAGACTTACCTGAGGACAGCTATCAGCTGTTTCTCAGTTTCTTCATTGAGCTCCGTAGGCTGACGAGATGGTTTCTTTGCAGAGTAGAGGTTCCATAGCCCTCGAAGGAAAGCAGGAAGGTTCTGAGTGCTAAGAGGGGTGGGCCAGAATCCAGGTCTGACTCCGTTTCCCAGGGTGGGGTTGACTGGCCTCCCTCCAGAGGGGGCGTCCTGCACCCCGGGGTTAGGGCTACCTGCGGGCCTCTACCCGGCCCCCCGCACATTGTTTCTTGCAGAGTTCAAGGAGGCCTTCTCACTCTTTGACAAGGATGGAGATGGTACTATTACCACCAAAGAGCTGGGGACTGTCATGAGGTCCCTGGGGCAGAACCCCACGGAGGCAGAGCTGCAGGACATGATCAACGAGGTGGACGCAGACGGTGAGCCACCCTCCCAGCCCCCCAGAGACAGCCATGCCCCCTCTCCTTCCCGGGGCTCTGGAGCCCCACCCCTCACTTCCCTGCCTTCCAGGCAATGGGACCATTGACTTCCCCGAGTTCCTCACCATGATGGCCAGAAAGATGAAGGACACAGACAGCGAGGAGGAGATCCGAGAAGCATTCCGTGTCTTTGACAAGGTATGCAGTCTTTTTCCAGGGTGCTTGGGAGACTGATGACCTTCAACAGCCTGCAAAGCCAGACCACCATTTTCGGGAAGTCAGAGCTGGCCACCTGCTCTGCTCCCTCAGGCAGCACTCTTCACTTTGCTCACTGCCCAGGGAAGGTGGTGGTAGTCCTTGCCTCCTGCCATTCTCCCACGGGGAGAAGCTACCTGAAAGTCTTTGTCCCCACCCCCAGGACGGAAATGGCTACATCAGCGCTGCTGAGTTACGCCACGTCATGACGAACCTAGGGGAGAAGCTGACCGACGAGGAAGTGGACGAGATGATCAGAGAGGCTGACATCGACGGAGACGGTCAGGTTAATTATGAAGGTGAGTCATGCAGGCTGGGCACTCAGGCCAGGGGAGGGCTGTGCGGGCTCAGGTCTGCTCACCAGACTCCCATCTCACTCTGCAGAGTTTGTACAGATGATGACCGCGAAGTGAAGGCTGGGGCAGCTGGTGATGCCCGTTCTCCTGATCTCTCTTCTCGCGCGCGCTCTTCTCTCTCTTCCACACTCCCCTGCGTACCCCAGTTCGGTTCTAGCAAACACCGATTGATTGACTGAGAATCTGATAAAGCAACAAAAGATTTGTCCCAAGCTGCATGACTGCTCTTCTTCTTCCTGACTCCCTCCATGCCCCCTGCATTCTTTGCCTCCCCCTTCTGTTCCCATCTTCCAGGCCTGATGCATTCATAAGAGAACCCCGCTCCCTTGAGGGAGCCTTTGCCCTCCTCCTTCCAGCCCGGGTGGCTCTCCTCCGTTTTGATTTGTTTTTTTTGTTTGTTTGTTTGTCCTTCTGGGTGCTGGGGTGGCCGCCAGCCCTGTCCTGGCCCTACAGGGAAGGGTGAGGCCCTCGCCCGGCGGGGGCGCTTACCCTTCGCTGTTGTGTGCACCCCATGATTCTGTGTGCAAGCCCAGCGGCCTGTAGGGCACAGTGCCAGGAGAACTGGGGGCGTTGAGAATTACGCAGTGAACGGATGTGGCCCAGGAAGGAACAAGGGCAAGGAGGCCTTGGAAGCTGGCATTTTTTTACCACTGGAGGGGGACAGACAGAGTGGACGGACAGCACTCAGGTTCCACTGGCTGCTGTTCTGAAACCACCTGGCTGGCTTCTGAGACTGGGCTGGGCGAGGACAGCTCATTTGGCCACTCTGCTAATCGCAGTTGTCCCTGTCTCTCCAGCAGTCTCACACTGATCTGTACACACCTGGTGCTAACACCCCGGGCCACTCCCCCATGGCGCACCCGCCCATGAGGGCTGTGAAGGAATGGATGTGGGGATGGTCGCTGTGTAATGTGCTACTTATCCCTTTACTTTTTCTTTTTGCTCCTTAAAACTTTTATTTTTGTCCTGACTGTGCCGGGCCAGCTGAAGGGTGGGGAGAGGGGTGCCGAGCCCCACCATGCTCATAGAACAAACCTGCAATAAAACAGTGCTGTCTGGCCGCCATGCAGAGCACGCTGCGGGCAGCCCCTGGCCTCCTGCCTGCCCGCCCACCTGTGGCACCTCCCACTCCTGCTCCTTGGGGTGATGGCACCGCTCCTCTCCTCACCGACTGCCCCACTCCCCAGCGGAGAGCATGGTCCGCACCCGCACTGTGCCCTGGCTTCTGACTCTCGCCTCTGGGACACATCAGTCATCGTGGGCAGTTCAGTTCAGTTCAGTTCAGTCTGGGTCTGTTTCCTTTTCTGTTCTCATCTGTCCCCCCCCCCCCGCCCCCCCCCCCCCCCCCCCCCCCCGCCCAGATCAGTGAAGTGGCTTTTCCTGGGACCTGCCCAGCTTGGAGACTTCTCCTCCACCCTCTGACACCAGCCTTGAGGCAGGGAGGGAGGGATGGGGCATAGCGGGAGACCCCTCCAAGAGCCGAGGGCAAGGGCAGGTAGGTGTGAGGCTGTGAACATTTTCGGAATGTTTTGTTTTTGTTTTTGTTTTTAAACCGGGCAATATTGTGTTCAGTTCAAGCTGTGAAGAAAAATATATCAATGTTTTCCAATAAAATACAGTGACTACCTGATCTGGCTCTGGCCCACTTATCTCAGAGTTTGGCCTGCCCCTGCGTGGACTGCTCAGCCTACCCCAGGAGAGCCTTCCCTCCACCGCCAGGAGGTTGAGGGCAGGGACTGTCCTGGCCCCTGGCCCATATGCAGGCAGTAGGCTCTTAGAGTGCTCGCTGCAGGTCCACATGGGGTTGCACACGCATGTCAGCCACACATGACGAGGACTGAGGAGACTCTAGGCAGGTCCATCTCACCATAGGAGCCCCGAGGACTCTGCCAGGCAATGCCCAGAGGCAGGAGGGGCAGGGTGCATGGAGGGACTGAAAACCAAAGACCCCTCCGTGACTCACTCAGCTGGGCCAGTCCCACATGCTCTAATCACCAGAGGCTCTGATCACTTTGAAGACTTGAAGCTGACAGCCCCAAACAATTGCAAACTATGGAAAGTTGAGAACTTACTGTGTTGGGTGGGGACGTGGAAAAGAAAGGCCTCCTGATCCAGGCCCATTGGGGCTTAAGCAGAGGGAGGTATGAAAGCCCTCAGGTCTTTTCCCAAGGGAGGTTGGCATCAGCTGCAGATCGCACACACCTCTCCTTTAGGGACACCAGGAGGGACTGAAGGTTTGATAAACGTGGCTTCTCACCTCCGAGCTTGTCACACACAACCAGAGGGGCTGGGCAGATGTGGACAGACAAGTCAGTAGGATATTGAGCTTCCTCATTCCCGTGCATCCTCGCCTGGCCATGGAAGGATGGAGAAGCCTGGGAGGGTAGTAGAAGGTGCCATCAGGCAGGGCCCCCTTAGAAGCCTTCCTGTGGCCTCCCCTGGTCTGGTGTGTCTAGTTGGCGAAGGTGGCATTGGCAGGCATGCCTCCAGAGTGTTGCTTCTGTGCCCCTTTTCCTGTCACCCCAGAGGGATGGGCATTTGTAATGCAGTAGACAGAAGAGCATAATGGATGAGAATTGGGGGTCATGGACTGGCCCCTCATGGGCTTAGCCGATGATGTCTAGGGACCACAAAATGGACGTGTGCTCCAGGGCAAGTGGCAGGTTGAATGCAGGACAAAGCACCAGCTATTGGTGGTGGGCACTTCCTGCTCCCTGGATCATCTGAGCTCTGCATCTGTGTCCTCAGAGACACCTTAAAGCGGCCATTCCACAGGCCCATTGTGCTGACCAGTAAACCAAGGCTGGAGGAGAGGAGTCACCCCTGAGGTTATGCAGTAGCAAGAGGCAGGCCTGCAGTCCAACCAGATCCAAACCCTCAGCTGCTGCACTCGAGTCGCTGGGCCTTTAAGAAAGCCTTGACTCAGGCAGGCCGGTGATGATGTCTAATGTAAAAGCTGCATTCTTAGCAGCCCAGCTACCTGCAGAACACTCTGGTCTAGCAGCTAAGAAAAAGATAAGCTTGGTGTCCCACAGTTGGAGCTCCAGACCTAATTGGAGAGCTCAGGGGTGAGCCTGCCCACACCGAACCACCTTTGCCACTTCCTACGTGAAGCTGACTCCCTTCTCCCGGCCTCAGTTTACCACTCCAAAATAAAGGATGATAGTAATCCATACCAGGGGTGTCAGAAACATCCACCCCAGCAGGCTGTGTCAAGTGTCCCTTATCTCCACCCAGGCCAGGTGGAGCCCTGCTAAAATTCAGCACCTACTTGTTTTTTTTTTTGTCTTTTCTTTTTTGGTGCTGGGATCGAACCCAGGGCCTCACGCATGCTAGGCAAGCGCTGTACCACCGAGCTACATCCCAGCCCTCAGCACCTACTTGTGGCGGGCTCGCTCTGGCCCAGGTGCACAGTGGGAGGCAGGTCCCTCCGTAGCTCCAACAGTGCAGGAGTGGAGGCTCAGGCAGGTGGAGCCTCTCATTCTTGGGTGGGACACCACCCCAGGTGTGCCAGGCCCTTCCCCACCTGGCCTTCACCCCTCTCATCTTCCCCCCTTGGGCCATATGTCTGGGAAGACTTTTACTCCTGCACAGGCCAAGTGGTTAAATAATCATGATTTCTCTTTCCCATTCTTTATTAACCAAAGACATGATGCCAGGCTCCAGTGACTCCTTCCTGTGATCTTTGCTACTCAGGAGGCAGCGATCAGGAGGATCGTGGTTCAAAGCCAGCCCAGGCAAATAGTTCCTGAGACCCCATCTCTGTGTACCAGCACCAAAAATGGCTGGTGGAGTGGCTCAGGTGGTTCAAGTGCCTGTTTAGCAAGCTGAGGCCCTGAGTTCAAACCCCAGTACCACATTAAAAAAAAAAAAAAGACATGATGACAATTTCCAAGGGGGACAGAGCAGACAGGCAGTGAGGGCATTGACTCCACAATGACAGAAATGCTTGCGTGGGAATCACTTTCAGTCCAGGATCACGGGCCTGTTAGGCCACCACAGCCTATCCTGAGAAGGGAACCAGGCAAGGGGCGGGGGAGGTGGGGTGGAGGTCGGGGCGGGGGGAGGGGGGAGGGTGGGGGATGCTGCTGAAGCTTCCTCAGCATAGCAGCTGTGCTCAGGGCCACTTCTGTCATCCCCAGTGTGACCAGCAGGGGGGGGCATGGTGACAACTCCCAGAACCAACCGTGGGATGTGTGTATAGACATAAGTTCTTTCCCTTTTCTTCCTTCCCTTTCCTTCCCTCCCTCTTCCTTCCTTTCCCTCCCCTCCCTTCCCTCCCTCTCTTCCTAACTTCCTTCCTTCCTTGTGCTGGTGATGGGACCCAGGGCCTACGTAGGGGCCCAACTATCACAGAGTTTTTGAGACACTGGCTATATAACCCAGTTGAGTCTTAAACTCTCGATCCTTTTTCCTCAGCCTCCCCAGTGTGGGATTACAAGCATGCACCACTACACCTGGCTTATTGTATGCATTTGTCCTATCTGTGGGTCAGCTCGGTGCTGGGAAGACAATATTGAACAAAAAAATTTCTGAATGAGTAGTCTCTTTGACAGAGTCCTTACCCAGACTTCCGCAGGTGCCTGGCATTTCTTCTCACAGATCCTTGCTCTGAACTCTTGGTACATAGCACAGCTTGTAATTTTACATTTGAGCTTGTAATTTTACATTTGAGCTGCCACTGTAACCCACTGATGGGATTATCTGGTTGTTCCCAGTGTTTTGGGGTTTTGTTGTTGTTCAGTACTGGGGTTTAAACTCAGGGCCTACCCCTTGAGCCCCTCCACCAGGCCTTTTCTGTGATCGGTTTTTTTCGAGATGGGGTCTCATGAACTATTTGCCTGGGCTGGCTTTGAATCGCGATCCTCCTGATCTCTGCCTCCTGAGTAGTTAGGATTACAGGCGTGAGCCACCAGCGCCCAACACCCGAGGTAGTTCTTGAGCAAAGTAGGACCAGGACTATCAGTCCTGAGAAATCCCCAGCAGGCAAAGGGCAGCCTTGAGCCCACAAAGAGGCAAAACACTAGACACCAGGTCAGAGAAGTCATCACAGCAGAAGTAGCCCTCTGCTGACTCGGCCCAATTTCTTCCAAACCTCAGGACTGGTGAGCAATCTTCTCCTCCAAGAAGGCCTTCCTGATGTCCTCCTAGGCTCCTCTGCCCCCACTTGCAGCCCTCCCACCCTGGAGACACACTGTCCTCCATAATAGATTGTAAGATCCAAGAGGGAGGGCAGAGCCAGGGTTGGCTCTGTCACTGCCATGTCCCCAGCATCTCGGGGACAAGGCTGCAGGAAGTAAGAAGGCAAGAGAGGCGTGGTCACGGTCATGTGGCCAAGGAAGGAAAGTTTCAGCAGGATGGTCCCCCACACCCACTGAGAATGCTAGGCTGGTGCTTTACCATTTGATCTGCGCCCCAGCCCTTTTGTTTGTATTTTATATCTTGAGACACAGTTGTGATACCTTGTCCTGGGCCAGCCTTGATCTCATGATCTTCCCGCCTCCCCCTCCCTCACAGCTGGGATTACAGATGAGCGCTAACTCGCCTGTCTACCTGAGCAAGGTGCTTTTGACAGATGGGGAAAAAATAATTGTTCCAGAGATAAACAAGGATGTGGGGGCTCGAAAGGTCACAGCCTCTGGGGAACCCCAACGGAGCCTGTAGTGTGGCCTGTGGCACCCCTGGAGCTGTGCAGGCGGGGAGTGACTGCTCATACAGTACTTTCCGACAGGGCTGTGGCAGTGGGTGAAGGGATGACTGTGGGCAGTCAGGGATCAGGACATGGGTGAGGTGAAGTTTCCAGCTCATCCTCAGGGACCACGGGGAACCACTGGGAGCCCCTAGGTCAGTCGGGGTGAACAGAGGGACACTGGGCCTTGTGGGTAAGAGACAGCAAGGAGCCAGCTTCCTCCCTTTCTCAGTCTAAGCTCTGAGGGGTCAGAGGCTAGCCCGGACTGATCCCTCCAGGAGTGACAGAGGACGAGAACCACCGCCCCAGCCCTCTTCACTGTCCTCTATTGAGTAGGGCGCCTTTGAGTGACTTTCAACTAAGGCCAGGCCAGGGACCCATTCTGATGTTTCCTAATCTGGTTTTGGTTTTCTCATACATGGACTTTGATTGGGTTGTTTTTGTTTTGTTTTGTTTGTTTGTTCTGAGACTGGGTCTTGCTGTGTAGCCCAGGCTGGTCTTGGACTCCTGCTCCTTCTGCCTCAGCCTCCCGAATGCTGGGATCACAGGTGTGCATCACCCTGTCCAGCAGGCTTCTTTTTGTGTGTATGTGGGACTGGAGTTTGCACTCAGTCTTTTGAGCTTGCAAAGCAGGTGCTCTGTTGCTTGAGCCACTCCTCCAGTCCACTTTGCTCTGGTTAGTCATTTATCTTGCGGTACTGGGGATCAAACCCAGAGCCTCGTGCATGCTAATACTCAGACACTGGGCTACATCCCCAGCCCTTGCTCTGGTTAGTTTGCAGATGGCGGTCTTGAAAACGGTTTGCCCTGGCTGGCCTTGAACCCCAGTCCTCCCTATCTCAACCTCCTGAGTAGCTAGGATTACAGGCGTGAGCCACTGGTGCCCTGCTTGGGCTGACTTTTTATTGTTAAATAAATTCAACCAATGTACTTACTACTACTCAAGAAGTTTCCAAACAACCTTCATTTGTTTCAATATGACATGATTTTTTTGTCGTGGTAAGATGCCCATAACATAAAAGTTACCATTTTAACCTTTTACAGTTCACAGACAGTTACAACTTAATGTCATTTGGTACCTTCACACTGTCGGCAATTGCCACCACTCTTGAGTTTCAAAACTGTTTTATCACTCCAAAAGGAGACCCCTGTGCCTACTAACCCGTCACCTCAGCCCAAATTTAAGTCTCCCTTTGTTCATGCCAAGTGCCATCATGACCAAAAATAAATAAATAAAAGTCAAAACCCTGGCGCCAAGCTTGGTTTTCTTTTCAGATCACATTTGTCCAGGTGACAACAGCCATGACAGCTACGATGATAATTGTAATGCCTGTTTCAGGCTTTCTTCCGGGCTCTGTGCTAAATTGCTACTCAGAAGGAATCACTGAACCACTTACAACAACCCCATAAGCTAAGAACTAGATTATGACTGAAAGGAAACCAAGGCAAGGTCACTCCAGCCAATAAGAGACAGACAAGACAGACCTGTGCCACAAACCAGACATGGTCTGCCTTCTCCTCACTGTGTGATCTAGGGCAGATGGTGGCCCTCTCTGGACTTGAGTCCATTCTCTCTAGAAAGACTGTAATAGTAGTGGCCTGACAGGGGCGAGTGACAGAAGGGAACTGACTGGTGGGGGGCTAGGAGTGTTCTAGTTCAACCTCCCCTACCCTACAGCCAACTCACTTCCTTTCATGCTGGTCAGCTTATTCTCAAACACCCTGGATTCCCAGCATCTACAGGCTGCTGGGGGAAGGCTGGGAATCTCTCCAGTGGGGTCCCCAGCAGGGCAGAGACTGTGTGTGTCCCAAACACCAGGCAGAGTCAGGGCCTGTTGAGTGTTTGTTGGATGGATGGATGGATGGATGGGTGGATGGATGGATGGATGGTTGGATGGATGAATGGATGGATGGATGGATGGATAGGACAGTTGAAACCTTTTTGTGAAGGTTTCAGAGATAGGGAGGTGAAGTCAGGCTCTGTAAAGAGAACCTTATTTGTTCAGGACCAGGGGACAGGCACAGGCCTTGAGTCCATATTCTTGGGCAGCCCCTGGGACCCAATCATTGCCACACACCAGCATTTCCATCTTCTCCTTGGTACCCACACCCCATAGTTCACAGCCCACAGGCTGTGGCGTTGCTCAGGCCTTTTCTGTACTGGGCACACTCCCAACAATGTCACCTACAAGACAGCAGCCTCTCCTTCCTCCCACCTGCCCTTGGAGTTCACGGCTGACACCAGATGGGAAGAAGGTGGGGGCTGGAGTTTCCTGAGAATTCCTGGCTCTCTGGGGTGGTAGCTATTAGGATGGTTTGGGAGAAGGCAGGGTGTTCCTTGGGGAGCTGGGGCGGGAGGCCAGGGCCACAGCTGGGAGCAGGAGCCCTAACCCAGCTGACCTGAGTACCCAGAAGTCGCTGGGAACTTTTTCAACTCCTAAATATTTAGACAGTGAGATGATGGAGAGTTGAGGGCCAGAGCAGGCCGGCCAGGCCAGTGGTTATTTTGAGAGAGCCATTTCTCATGTGCTCTGGGGTAAGCGCTCCCTCAGTCTTCCTGGAGCCTACAGTGACCACCCTGAAGGAGGAGAAATAGCAGCTGGCCACCCCCCAAATTTGGGGAGGTCACGACTCTGACTTCCTCAGCCATCAGCCAAGTCCCTGCTTTTCTGGCTCCTGTGCCCAGAAGACAGGACAGGAGATCATAGGGCCAGCCTAGCTGTCAGCAGAGGGAGCAGGCCACCGCAGCCTCTGCTTTAGACAGCGTTCCCACGGTGCTGCTACCATCACTGGACTGTGCCATGGGAGGTAAAGATGCCACCTGCCCCTCGACCCAGGCCGACAGAGGCACCCAGCTCCCTTCCTTCCCCTCCAGGGCAGTGGGGACCTGCGGGTCCCTCTTTCCTGAGGTGGGCCTGGAGAGGGGTGTCTGCGAGTCGCCGTGGGCAGGCCGGACACACAGGCAGCAGAACCAGAGCCTGAGTCGCTGGAAGACAGCCTTTCGGAAGAGGATGAAGACCCAGGGGTCCAGGATGGGGTTGAAGGCGTTGAAACGGAATGCGAGAAGGTCCCCCATCTCACTGCTGTCCGGGGCAACGGCCTGGGTGAAGCCACGGATCTGAGGACAAGGGGGGACATCAGGAAGCGCCATGAGCACCCCCACCCTGGCTCCCCACTTCCCCTTCTCACTGGCAAGGATGAGGGAGGGGCGGCAAGTCACGGGAAGCAGAGGAGATAAGATAGAGTAAGTGGCTAATTCATCCAGGGAGCAGAGGGCAGGAAAGCCCCAGGAAACAGCCAGCCAAGGTGGGGCCTGGGTCTCCCCAGCCTTTGCAGCTGAGAGGACCCTCCAACTAACCAGATGCTTGAGCCTGAGATCTCTGGTCCCCCTAAAACTGCAGTCATGTGTGGATTTGCCCAGTCTGAGTCATCATAAACCCCCTCAAAAAAGTTTAAGAATCCCCAAATCCAGCTTAACCTCTTCATTTTACAGAACAAGAAACTGAGGCCCAGAATAAAGATGGAATGACTGAAGCCGGGAGTAGTGTACACAGCTGCTATTCCAGCACTCAAGAGGCTGAGGCAACAGGTCCCCAAGTTCAAGACCATCTGGACTACATAGGGAAACTGTCTCACGAAAACGAAAGGGTGGGACGACCAGGTATCACAGACATGGCCGCTCCAGTGGGAGGGAGGTGAGAGCCTTCGGGAAGCAGGAGAGGACAGAAGATGCAAAAGGCAGAGAAGGCAGAGTGAGGCCTGGCTGGGGGAGTGAGGAGCACATGGATGGAATCAGAGGACCAGGTGGAGACCTGGCTCTGTGTCATCGTGACGCTGCCCTTCACCTGTAGAAAGGTGAGAGGATGGGACCTGCAGGCCAGCTTCCTGCCAAGTGCTTTCCGAATGGGTGTGGAAGGTCAGTGTGTGAGTGCTCATCTGAGGATGTATTTGGAAGCCATTAAGCATCTGCCTCCAGCTGGTGGATGGCAAGGGCTCAAGATCCTCTAATCATCACTGGGGACAGGAAGGTGCGTTCGATTATGGGAGACTGGGGATGTGGGAAGGGGGAAACAAGGGTTGGAGTTGTCAAAGGGGTAGAAGCAAATGGGGAAAAACTTCTTGGGAAAGTTGGGAGTTGTCTGATGGTGGACAAAAACCTCTTTGAGACTCAGTTTTCCCATCTGTACAATGGGCATGACCAACGGACCACAGAACTGGACACTTCCCTCTTCCCGAACCCCAGCTCCTTGGTGGGGACTCACCGTGAGAGGCAGGGAGCACACAGCCATGATGCCTGTCATGAGGGCCAGTAGAATCAGGTGATCCACCTCATCCTCACACGTCCCAGAGCTGGCAACCAGAGAGCCCTGGTGGCGCCTCTGCTGGCGGTACATGCGGCAGAGGCTGAGGGTGACGGAACCATTGCACAGGACGATGGCGGTCACCAGCAGGGCCACAAGGCTGGCATAGGCCAGTGAGAAGGCGCAGCCCCTGGGCTCGGCTGAGCGCATGCGGACGAAACACCAGCTGCCGGGGCAGTACTGCTGGTGCTGGCCCAGGCCCAGCAGGGGCAACGCACAGAAGATGGTGCAGAAAGCATAGATGGCTGGCAGTGCCAGGCGGGCACAGCGTGGGGCGTCTAGCTGGGCGTACAGGTAGGGATGGCTGAGCGCCAGGCAGCGCTCCACGGCCATGGCGAAGAGGATGAGCGTGGAGGCCAGGCCAAAGAAGGTCATGGCAAAGGCAAAGGCGTCACACAGCGCCGGGCCACCACGGGCCAGGCCCAGCAACGAGCTGTTGCGAGCGTAGGCCACGAACACAGCCGGGCTCAGGAAGCAGGTGCCCAACAGGTCTGTCACCGCCAGCCCCGTCACCAGCACCGCGAAGGCCGACGGGTGTGACCGCCGCCTTGCACCCAGGATGCCCAGTGCCAATCCGTTCCCTACCACACCTGCCACAAACATCAGGGTGCTGGTGGCTGGCCCCACCGAGTCCCGCACATAGGTGAGATTCCGGCAGGAGTCTGCCATCACCAGCTGCCGCCCGCCACGCCGGGCAGGAGGGTCCCAAGGGTGGGAGGTTGGGACCACTTGGATGTCCACCGCCAGCCACAGTCCTTACAGCACCCGGGATCTGCCGGTCAAGTTCTCCATGTGCCTGTGTCTCTCTGTCTGTCGTCTGTTTCTCTCCCCTGTCTTCTCCAGTGTCTGACTCCCCTGTTTCTTCCCTTGTCTCTCTGTGTCTGTCCTTCCCTCTCCCAGCCTTCCTAGTTCAGTCTCTCTGCCTCTTGCTCTGTCACTGTCTCTGTTCCCTCCCTGGTTGACCCGTACCTCCCTTTCTCCAGCCCTCTATCCCCTCCCTTCCTGCACTTCTCCGCACCTTGTCACTCCTTGGCACCTCCTCACTTTCAGTCTCTCCTTCCTGCTTGCTTCTTGCAAGAAGTCTGCGTAGGTCTCTGTGTCAGCTTCTTCCTCCCTCCCTCCCTCCTTCCCTCCCTCCCCATCCTCGCCCCGGCTTTTTCATTTCCTCTCTGCCCCGCCCTCCCTCCCCTGCATTTGTCTCCAGAGGCCCCCTTGGGCTCCCTGCCCCCTTCCCTGGCCAGCACCCGGTCCCCCTGCTCAGTGCAACCATCTCCCATCTTCTCCCCTCTCCTGGAGCCACCTGCCACCTCCCCACCCTTAGGTCTCTGCCATTTTTCCCTCCTTCTCTGTCTCTGGGGGTGCGGTGGGGGGGGGGCTGAGTCCCTATAATTGTCACCCAGGTTCAGGGCCTGCGGAATGTGGGGGGCAGGCAGGACCAGAGGGGTGACGCTGACCAGTTCTCAAGGTTGGCCTGGCCTGGGCTGTCTCGGGATGACCCCTGGGATCTATTCTGGGCGCCAAGCCCTGGGGTTAGGGGCAGGTCCAGGGATTGAGAAATGACCGGGAAATTCCTCCTTGTGCACACTGTTTTCCAGACACCGCTGAGAGTTCTGGGCCCTGGACACAATTCACTCCTTGCAGCGGCTGTGGAAGGAGGTGGCCTGACTAGTCCTTGTCCCTGGGCTGTCAGCTTGAGCACTCAGAGCCCTGAATAGGGATTCAAAAGAGGGTCTTGTTTTGTGGCCAGTTGGAAGGTCAGGCCGAAGGGACTCCAGCACCCCACCGACCCTCTGCCTCTCACCAGGCCAAGCTTCCAGGCCCCAGGCCAAGCTCTAAGGTCTTAGATCTCCAAGAATAATATTTTGGTCACAGATGAAAGCCATCCAGGGCTCCACTGTCCCTCAGGCCAGTGTTGTCAGCCCACATGTCACAGCTGTCAGCACAGCAATTCACGGCTTCCTAAGTAGCCTCCCAGCACATGAAGACTCAGAGAACCTCTAAGACACCCCTTGAGTTTCAAAGTTACAAACTCAGACTCTGACATCCATTTGTCTCCATTTGACTACCTTCTTGCTATGTGATAGTCCAGGCAAGGACAGGAAGGTGATATGCCTCAGTCTTCTTATCCTTGCAATGGGAACACCACACTCCCAGGCCTGTGGCTGACCGTGCCTAGCAGCCCACCCCAGGCATGCCTTGGGACGAGGAAAGAGCCCAGGCAGATGCTGTGTCATGTTCAAGGCCAGGAGAGAGGATCCTGAACCAAGAGCTGAACTTGGGGCAGCTGTAGCCTTGCCTTGTCCGTCCAGGCCCTGTGACCACAACCCCCTTGCCTTCCCCCATCTCGCTATCACCCATGCCCAGCTGGTACCCGGATAACACGCCCCCGTCCTGAGCTTCCGGCAGGATGGATGCCCCCACCCAGACACAGTGGGGATCCCCGAGGGACCTCATAGCCCCTCTCTGGGGGTGCGTGTTTGTGGGGGGGGTCTACCAGGCCTGCAGGGCCATGTGGTCCTCTGATGTCCTCCTGTTCCCAGGCAGAACAGAGGGAATACAGGAAGTTCTAGCATATTAATGAAGGATGAGGCCTGGCAGAATCGAGTCCTGTCTTGGCATCCAGGGACTTGCTGGGGGCCAGGCAGAGTGCTCTGGTTCCCGGAGCTTCTCCTGCTGGCTTCCTGTCCCCACCAGGAGTGTAAAGCATTCTGGAAATCCCCTCTGCTCCCTTGGGGACCTGGGACAAGCTTCTGCTACCCACCAGGCCTCAGTTTCCCCTCCTGTGTCCCTAGGGGCAGCCTCGGTTCTGTGCCTTGGCTTCAGAAACTGGTGGGTGTAGCAGGAACTGTAATTCCTTCATAACAAGGGACTAAGGACCCCTGGGGTCCAGGCCAGGGATGCATGACTCCATGTTCCTTCTGAGGATGCCCAGCCTCCTGGTTGACTGTGGCCCTGGAGAGATCCCACGTGCCAAGCCCACAACAGGCACCATGGCAGTTCTGCTTTTGCGGCTCCAGGGGTGAGGGGTCAACCATCTGCCCGGTGAGGTAGCAGCTTCCGGGGCTGGGGATCAACAGAACGAATTGATGGAGACTGTGAGTCAGCAATCTCCCCCCTCACCGCGGGCAACAGGACTCAGCCTCCCTGAGGGACCTTGGGGGCCAGGGCAGATGAGGAAGGACAGCCCAGACACCAGCACGGAAAATTGGGACTGACTCAGGGACGCAGAGGGGAGGGAGATGGGGACCTTGGTGAGGGTGGGAGCCCGGGGCTGTGTGCAGAAGAACTTGGCCTGTGAGTCTGTGTGAGATCTGGGGGGCCTGCATGACTTACGTGAGCATTTTCGGCAGTGTGGTGATTGTGCGTGTTGTGTGTGTGTCCATGGGTGGGCCACGCTGAGTCTGCATGGCTCCTGTGGGTGTGTCCTCACAGGTTGCCTGGTTTCTGTGGTGTGTGGGGGGTGTGTGTGTGACACCAGCCTGTGTGTGGCTTTGCAGGCATGGCTGTGTCTATACCATGTGTTGCTAGCCCATGTGACTTTGTGAGCAAGATTTTTCTGGAGGGTGGAGTGGGGAGTCTGTTGTTTTTTTGTTTTGTTTTCTTTTGTGCTACTGGGATTTGAACTCAGGGCCTTCCTTCACCTTGAGCCACTCCACCAGCCCTTTTTTTGTGGTGGGTTTTTTTGAGACAGGGTCTCTCAAACTATTTACCTGGGCTGGCCAAAAACTGCAGTCCTCCTGATCTCTGCCTCCTGAGTAGCCAGGATTACAGGCGTGAGCCACTGGCGCCTGGCTTATTTGTTTTTATGGTACTGGGGATTGGACCCAGGGCCTCTTGAACTAAGCCCCTAGCCCTTTGGCTTTCATTTGTTGCTTTGTTTTGTTTGGTGGTACTGGAGTTTGAACCCAGGCCTTGAGCTTGCTAAGTAAGTGCTCTTATCACTTGAGCCTTGATTCTAGTCCTTTTATTTTGTTTTTGAGACATGATCTTGCTACCTTTGCCAAGGCTGGCCTCCTGTCTTAGCCTCCCAGAGTAGCTGGGATTACAGATGATTTTGTTTTGTTATTGTTGGGGTTTTTTTGTTGTTGTTTTTGGTGATTCTATAGTTTGAAGTCAACTCCTTGCTAGGCAGGCCCTCTACTACCTGAGCCACACCTCCAGTCATTTTTTTGCTTAATTTTTCAGGTATGGTCTCTTGTTTTCGCTCAGGGCTGGCCTTAGGCCTCTGTCCTCCTACCTGCGACTTCCCATGTAGTGGGGACTGCAGGCATTCACCACCACAACCGGGCTTATTGGTTGAGAGGAGGGGGGTCAAGCTATCTTTTTGCCCAGGGTGCCTTAAACCATGATCCTCACAATCTCTACCTCCCAGCCCAGAGAATTTGGTTTTGGTACTGGGATTTGAACTCGGGGCCTTGCACTTGCTAGGCAGGCATTCTACCACTTGAGCCACTCCAGCCTAAAAGTGGGTTTTGAAGCTCAACTCTGCCACTTGCCACTCACTGGGTAACCCCGGGAAAATGACTTTTTCTGGTGATGCTTTGGTGTTCTTTTGCCAAATGGCCAACTTGACCTTGTGGGCTGTTGTGTGAAAATCAGAGCCAATTCAGCCTACCTACCTCTCAGGAAGCCTTCAAATAGCTACAGGTACCACTAGTCAATCAAAAACCTAACAGTTTACTATGTGCCAAGGGTTGGGGACACGGAGGGGCTCGGAGGGCACCATCCAATTGCAGTGTGGGTGTCCACATGGCATGTGGAGCCTAGGCAGGTGGAGAATTTGCTGAGTCACCCCCCTGCCCAGCCGGGACTCCCGTCTGGGTGTGTGTCATCGGGAGAGCAATGCCAACATTACAGAAATGAAACTGTGACTGGCCTTTCCCACACCCGCTGGCCAGTGCCCAGGCTACACTGGGACCTACTGCAGGGGGGCACCTGAGACCCTGTTTGTCCTGGGCCCAGCTCTCTCCTGATAACCTAGTTTCTGTTCTTCTTCTTCTGGCACTGCTTTGGGATCAGCGCCCCCCCTCCATCCCCCATCTCACTCTATACACACACAATTAGCTCCCTGCTTCGAGAAACTACGATGTGTCCTTCTATGCCAGTCCCATGTGTCCTGCCTTGGCTCAGCCTAGCTCAGGACCAACACCGCTCTGGGCGCATGGAGTGAGGTGCAGGGTGCACAGAGCTCGGGGGTGGGGGTTTGGCTGGCACTGGAGGGAGCAAGCACGTCTCCCCAAGGGGCCACCTCCCCGCCTCTTGGCCTGGCTCTGACCCCAGGCTGATCTCACAGCTTCAGGGTGGCAGGAAAGAGCCCAGCAGCCTGGGTGACCAGATCTGGCGTTATAAGGCTAATAAAATTAATCCGGGCTGCACTCATGGCATTGTGACTGGTCACCCGGGGACCTGCTCTGTCCCTTCTGGTTTGTGCCTTTTCCTTCCTCCCAGCCTCAGTTCCCCCGGTTACCCTCTGTCTGCCCTCCAAGCAGCCATCTCTTGTGGGTCCCCTCTGTGCCCCACTCCCTCCAGATAGGCCCCAGCCAGCCAGCCCCCCTTGCTTCCCTGAAGTCCCCCAAGTTCTGCAAGGTGAAAGAAAAACACAGCTCCCAGATTCCAGGCTGGAAGGATCTGAATCCAAATGCCCGAGGTTTAAGAAAGTCCAACTGTCCTCAGGGGATGAGCATCGGAATCCCAGAGAGTTGAGGTGACTGGATGCCAGCCTGCCCACCCCACAGAATTAGAAGATTCTAGAATTTGGGACTCAGAGACTGTGGATCCTACATTCCATCACATTTCAGGTTTTAAGAAGCCACAGGGTACTGGGTCTCTTACATTCTCGAATCCATCTGGCTCCCTTCATTCCTCCTGGCATCCTTCTTCTTCCCTCCTCCCCCATCCCCAGCTCATCCTTGGCTCTCCCTGTCCCCCTTCTCCCCCGGGGCTCCCACAGACATGATGCAACCAGGCCGGAGCCGGCTGAGAGGTGGGAGGCAGGAGGGAGATGTAATTACAGCCATTCCTGCCTCCCTCCTACAGGAAGCTCAGAGTGGGGGCCCAAGGGACCCTAATATTATCTGAATATGGAGTGCTTGCCAGACTCATGCAAGCCCCCCTCCCCTGGGGAGGCAAGCCAAACCAACCACCTCCAGCCAGATCCAGGGGTCCAGCGCCCATCAGCCCTAAGCTGGAGGACAGGAGTGTCAGACTCAGAGAAGGGGAGAGGTCGGGGGACTCAACAGGGTTACAAATTCAGTGGCCACTCAGGCCAACCAGGTAAATTGAGTCAAACCCACAGCTCGCCCAGTTCTTATTTTCCCCAGGTATGTTCTTTCTCTCTTTTTGTCTTTTTTTTTTTTTTTTTTTTTTTTTTTGATGATTCTGGTATTTGAACTCAGGGCCTTGCTCTTACCAGGCAGGTGCTCTACCACATGAACCATGTCCGCAGTCATTTCTCCCAATTTCAGTAAAATAGAACATTTCACTTCATTCCACAAGACGCTCCCAGCACAGCCTCCAAAATGGCAAATCAGCCTTCTTAACTGGGAGACCATGGGACATGGTGGGGCCTTTGTCCAGTGGGAAAATCCCAAGACCCTTATAGCTTATGGTCACCCTGCAGGCCAGCAGACCTAGAATTCCAAGGAAGCCGGAAATAGGGACTTTCATATAAAATATTTCTATTTTTGAATTTGGCAAGCAAGTCAACGAACATATTTAAACATCATGTAGGGCAAAAGTAAAGCCAAAAAAAATACAAGTACACACGTATACATACTGGGAGACAGAGCGGGACCCAGCGCTGCTATAAGGCACTCCTCTGTCCTTAGAAATTGTGGAAGGATAGTAGGAATTAATTTGTCCCCTCGCCTTACCCCTAGCCACTCCCATCCCAATATCTTCTCTTCCTCCAGGAAGCCCTCCCTGACCCCCAAACTGGATCAGATGCGCTCCCTCTGAGCCACCTAGGGACAGGTCTGCCACAGCCATGTTCCCAGTGTCACCCAGTGTATGGCTGGTTACAGAGCAGGCACTCAGAATGTGTGGGAGAATGAATGAATGAACAGAGAAAAAGCTCAGTGAGTGAGGACAAAAAAGTTAAGGAAAAGAAAAAAAGTTAAGGCAGCGGTTTGAGAAGTTAAAAGAAGCCTGTAATCCCAGTTACTCAGGAGGCAGAGATCAGGCGGATCAAGGTTCGAAGCTAGTCCAGGCAGGTAGTTCCAAGGCCTCCACCTGGGAAATACCCAATACCAAACAGGGCTGGCAGAGCAGTTCAAGTGGAAAGAGTGCCTGCCTAGCAAGCGTGAGGCTGAGTCAAATCCTAGTGCCACAAAAAAACAACAAAAAGATATGAGAAAAAGGCTGGAGTGATTCAGGAGGGAGGGCAGCTGAGCCTGGAGTCCACAGTCTTCACCCTGTGTCTCTGAGCTCAGTAGCTTTGGGTATGGGACTTCTTTTTTTTTCAGTGGGACTAGGGTTTGAACTCAGGGCCTCACACTTGCAAAGCAGGTGCTCTACCACTTGAGCCACACCTCCAGTCCCTTTGCTCTGGTTGTTTTGGAGATGGGGGTCTCATGAATTATTTGCCACGGCTGGCCTTGAACAGAGATCCTCTTGATCTCAGCCTCCCAAGCAGCTAGACTTACCGGTGTGAGCCACCAGGGCCAGGGGTAAGGGACTTCTTTAGGCTCAGTTTCCCCATCTGTAAAATAGGCACCATGCAGGTAGCAGCTGCTCTCTGGAGCTGCTGGGACAATGAAATAAGTTCAGGATGGGATTGTGAAGGACAGAGACCTAAATGCTCATTTCCTCCTAGAAAATGACTTGTGGACTTGTACTCCCAAAGCATCCTAAGAAATGCGAAGGGACACGGTCCCCCCCCACCAAGGTGGCCGCAAGTTCTACGCGTACCTCAGTTTCCCCAAAAGCACAGGTACCAGCACAGTCACCAAGTTTATTGGATTCATACTTTGGCGGGGGAGAGTAAGCGGTCCAGAGGGCTCAGAGTAGGACGCAAAAGAGGCGCTTGTCACGGAAGGGATTCTCCGCGGCGGGGACCGGGGTCACCAGAGGGTCATCTTTGGCGTGAGTCTCGCAGAAAGACAGGAGCTCGGCCGCCGCCTGCGACACCTGAAGGCGTCAGGTAGAGAGGTCGCTGTCCCGCCCTGGTGGCTGCACCCTCAAAGCCCCTTCCCGCGGCTCGGCCCCGCCTCCTACAGCCGGCCCACTGATGAGTGACCACGCCCCCTTCCAGAGCCCACTCCTTCGCCCCTCGTGTACCCTGAGATCCTCCCACCGCAAATTCGGTCCCGCCCCCCGCTGCCGGCCACGCCTCTCATTGCTGGCCACGCCCCTTTCTAAGCCCCATCCCCTCGTCCTTCTTGGTTCCTGCGAAGATCTTCCCACTGTGGCTCCGGACCCCTCTGCTAACACAACCCGGTGCAGAACCCCCACCCCCGACCCCAAAGCTCCCACCCTATTCACCCCCGCCAGATCCATCACCTTCATGCGGTCGATGTTCACCTCCAGCTTCAGTTGTTCTACTGTCTTACGGGCCTCGGCGATCTTGGCCATGTTGTTTGACATCGCTGCAGCAAGGAAGGGGTTATTGCCTGGCAGGAGTGGGGACTGAGGGGTTGGGACGCGTGTGGGTCCCCAGGTAGGGTTGGTGGTGGTGAGACCCAGTAGCAGGGCGTAGGTGGAAGCGTGCACGAACAGAGTACCAGAGACAGGTACAGAGAAAGCAATGATGACCAGGGAGAAGAGGACGGAGGGTGCACAGATGGGGGTACCTAGAAGCAAGCAGGGGAGGAACAGAGATCAGCAGGGAAGGAAGGAGGGATGCACAGATGGGAGGCTAAGGCAGGTGGAGGAGGGAGGGCCAGAAGGAGAGGGCCTCAGGTGCTAGATCAGGATCTAGGGATCCAGGTGTCCTCACCCCCTGGGGATAAAGCAAGAGCCAGAAAAGGGGGGGCCCTCCCCAGGCCAATTAACGGTGGCTCCAGGGAGAACTGCGAATTAAGATCGCGGCGGGAGGGGCGCAGAGGGGGCCTCATTAGGGCCTTGGTAGCAGCTGCCCCCTCTGCCACCCTCAGGGAACCCCCCACCCCAGCCCTGGCCACCTCAAAGGCTCCTCTGCTCATTAGCAGCCAGAGGAGAGAATTGGTGGAGGATGGGGGGGGGGAGACTCAGCCAGACTGGGAGAGGGGCAGAAGGATGCAGAGAGGGACAAATGGAAGGACCAGAGAAGGGACAGAGTGACAAAGGAAAGAGATAAGCATAGGGGGAATAAAGAGACTGAGAATAGGTAGAGAGATGGAGAGATTGGGGAGAGGGAGAGAATGATGAGCGAGGACAATAGAGGGACAGATGGAGGAATAGAGGAAGGGACACAGTGATGCAGGAGAAGAGGCATGGAGGGGACAGGGATCGGTGGGAGAGAGACAGACAGAGGACAGAAAGAACCCAGACAGAGAGAAAGAGAAAGGAAGAGCTGGGGGGTGGGGGGAGGAGGGGAAGCTGAGGGAGGAAGGAGGAGAGAAGAGGGTAAAAGGAGGAACAGAAGGGGAGACAGGCTGATGGAACAGAAAGTCATTCATTCACTCACTCAGTTACTCATTCATTTTTGGGCAGACGGATGGTGGCCGAAACTGGCTGTTGAGACCAAGACAGTAGCTTCCTACCTGTTGATGCTCAGGACCAGGATGGCTGTCGGTGGCAGAGGCTGAGAGGCAGCATCTGGGTCTCCCTCCCAGTCCTGCCCCGCCCCCTCTCCTGGGGCACAGCCCCTCAGGACCCGCCTCCTCCCTCAGGCTACACCATCTCCAAGCCCTCTCCAGTCCTCTGTGCTCTGTGTGGGGCTCTACCCTCTTTGTCCCTCTCTGTTTCTGTTGCTCCTGTTTCCTGTGAGTGTAAGCATCTCTATGTATCTCTCACACCCACAGGTGTGCTCTGCACACACCTGTGCCCTGCATTTATTCCCCTGTCACACAAGCCACTTCTGTGTATCCAACACAGCCTCTCTCACAAACAGACACACTTATCACCTCAGTGTCACCCTCTCAGCAACATACAGACTGATGCTCAAAGTCCATCACACAGAGATGCACACTACCTTACTGGGTCACACGGTAAAGCCACAGTGTCATGAGCACGTGTGCTCAACACAACCTCACAGTCTCTCAAATGTCACACACTGTCACTCACGATCTCCCACAGTGTAGCAGGACATCAGCACTGGCAGCTTGCACAGTCAATTGCACATAGTTGTCAGTGTCACATACAATCTATCAAAATGCCACACATACATGTGCAATTTTAACTTCTCCTGCAGTCCCTCATCCACTTTCTGTGTCTCACAGTCACGTGCAATTATTTGTACATCTTTGACAAGCAGTTGCGCAGAACACAGGCGCACACAGTCACCATCCAATGATGCCCACATACACTCATACAACCCTCTGTTGGCACACACAATCTTCCACATTCCTGCCCCACAGGGTCACACACAATCTGTCTCTATCACACCCACACACCATATTTTGGTGTTATACATAGTTGTACACGATGCCTGGGTGTTTCACACACATACACACTGTCATGTTTGCAATCTCTGCCAGTCTTCACAGTCTGTGCCTCATATGCTTGTCACACTCACACTGTCTCACTTATCATCACTCAGCATTCTTGCAGTGTCTCACACACATGCACGCACACACACACACACTAACCTCTGAGTGCCCAGTTCTTTTTTCTTTTTTGGTTAGGCTGGGGGTTTGAGCTCAGGGCTTCGCACTTGCAAAGCAGGCACTCTTCTGCTTGAGCCACATCTCCAGCCCATTTTGCTCTGGTTATTTTGGAGATGGGGTCTCCAAATTACTTGCTCGACTGACCTCAAACCTCAATCCTCCTGATCTCAGGCTCCCAAGTAGCTAGGATTATAGGCGTGAGCCCGGCTCACCAGTTATATACATTTTTGCCTGTGGGATCACAACAGAGGGCCAATCTCTCAGCATCCATGTCACACATAGACCCCAGTTTCTCACAACCCAGTAATGTGGCTGACACATACCATGTCACACACACACAGTCCATCACACCCAGCCCCCCTGCACATCTCACACCCTTGTGGTATCCCAGGTCACTCACCCTGACTCTGCGCCTTTGACATATGCTGCTCTCATCCCCTGCCTCCCTCGCATACGGTGTCACTCACGCTCTCCCACTCCCACATATGATCTTTCAGTGTCACATACAGTCCCCAAATAGTGTCTCTCAGACCCAATCACACACATCCCCTCATTGCCACACACTGTTACCCATAGAGTCACCAATAATCTCACGGTGCTATGGGAACCCCTGACCCCATGGTGTCACACACGGTCACCTACATGTCATCACTCACATATGCAGTCCCACTCAGTCTCCCCTTGTCATTCATACTCTGTCTGTGTCACAGTCTCCTGACGTCACACACCAGCTCTCAGGAGTACACACTCCTGGTCTGCCGGGATCGCACCACCCCCCAATGTCATCTTTGAACACTACAGCACGTCACACTGTCTCTCCATCACACGCCTTGTGTGCTCACACTCGTCCAGCCCTCGGCCACCCCCCACCGCCTTGGCGGCCACACGGGGGCACCCGCAGCCCGCAAGCCGCCCACCCCGCCCCGCCCCGCCCCGCGCCAAAGCCACCGGAGGACTTAGAAGCAGGGAGCGCCCTGCGAAGATGGAGACGGAGACCTCGCAAGGTGGAGGAAGCCAAGGACTAGAGGCAGAGGATGGAAGATGGACAGAGAAATTCAAAAGAGGAGAGAAAGATGCAGAAGAGACAAGCCGCAGAAAGAGGGACACGGGGACAGTCTCTTAGAGAAGTGGAGACTTAGGGACTAAGACGGAGAGAGACAGGACAGACACACAGACCGAAACGTAGAGTTAGAGAAGGGACAGAAAAACAGACACAGAGACGGAGACAGAGGCGGGCAAAAAATCGGACAGAAAGCGCCTTCAACACTGGCCCTGACGGTAGGGGCAAGCCTGCCGGGGGCGTGGCATCGGGTCCGCGCGGGGGCGTGGCCAGGGAGGGACGTGTGGGAGTGTCCGAATCTGCGTTGAGGGCGTGGCCAAACGGGGGCGTGTTCCGGGGGCGAGGCTTCGGGTGGAGCTGGGGCGGGGTCTGGCTGGGGGCGGGGTCGGAGGTGGGGCTTTACGCTCTTTGTGGGTCTGGACTATTAGGACCCGGGACAAGGCGGAGGCTGGAGCCCAGGGAAGAGGTGTAGGTGGGGAGGAGCGTCTCTACCGCAGACAGTTCACCCCAATTCGGTTTTTACTGCCTGGACAGGGAAGCGAGGCCGGAGGGGAGGGGACACCGACCCCTGGTAGCTTTTTGATCGCGAGTACCGCATCCTGGCTCCCTTCCCCCTCCCCTGCGGGCACAGCAGGGCCAGGTCGGGGAGGGGAAGGCGGCCCACATCTGGAAAGCATCAGGCGCGCCGGACGTGCCAGGGCCCCGGGCCCGGCTGCGGAAGGGGGAGGGGAGCCAAGGCGCAACCCCCACCACCTAGTGGGGTCGGCCGGCGCCGAGGAGGGGCCTGGGCGCGGGCCGAGCCCGGCGCCTCCCGCAGCTGGTTTCCATCAGCAGATGTGGCCTGGGCAGCCCCGAGCAGGAAACCCAGCTTAGCGCCGGGAAGACAGGGTGACGACCCAATCTCCTTCTCCGCCTCATCTTCCAAGGCCAAAGTCTGGCGGGGGGGGGCGGGGATGGGGGGGCGGGGACGGAGAAGCACAGACGGACACTGCCTCAAGCGAGGTAAACTCCTTTTCTCTCCCCAGCTGCAGACCTCAGCCATCTTTCCACCCCGCCGATAGCCTCACTTCTGCCGTGTTTGCATAGGAATCGCCTCAGCCTAGGGACAGCCTAGTGCTCAGTCCTACTGTTGACTCTATTTTGGGGAGGAGAGACCTGAGACCTGGACTCGGATTCGGTTTCTGGCTTTAACTATTACAGAAACGACCAATGAATGGCAACAAGTACTTAGATCAAGTACTCAAAAGTCTATTGAAAATTTCCACCTGGATGTCAGAGTGTCCACCTTGGCCCAGCCACCATGCCCTCCCATTTTGACTCCTTGTTGGGCTCCTGGCTTGTGTCTCTGTCCCTCTCAGCCTATTCCCTGCAGAGCAGCCAGAAGGGCCCTTTTTAAAACTAAGTCCCAGCTGGGCCTGGTGGTGCACGCTTGTAATCCCAGAACTCAGGAGGCTGAGGCAGCAGGATCTAGAGTTCGAGAACTGCCTGGTCTACATAGAGTTACCCTGCCTTAATAAAAAATTGGTTGCCAGGGACTGGGGAGGTTGGGAATGAGAGCTAAGGAATGCAGGGTTTCTTTTCAAGATGATGCAGATGTTCTAGGACTGCTTGCACTAACTTGTACACATACTAAAAACCACTGAACTGGGTGAATTTTATGGTATGTGAATTACATGTCAATAAAGCTGTTAATCTCTTCACGACCAACAACAACAAAAAAGTCTTTCTTAAGCCTGCTGCAGGCATGGCTGAAGTGGTAGAGCACTTACTTAGTAAGC